TTTTTTTTAAAAAAAAAAAAAAAAAAAAAAGCAATTTTGTAGATTAAAAATTATATCATAGAGACAGAAAAAAGTAAAACACTTAATATTTTTGTACAGTATAATATTGTACAAAAATGAATTAAAAATCATCTTAATACAACATTGACTAACGTGTATTTATAAATATTCATTGTTTTTTCATAATACAATAATTCACTAATGTTAATTTACACAAATTAATGTTAAGATGTACACTACCAGTATCATTCAAAACTTTAGGTTTGGTAAGATTTTTTTTTTTTTAATAAATACTTTTATTTAGCAGTGATGCATTATATTGATCAAAAGTGACCGTAAAGGCATTTTCTTGCAAAGAAATGCTGTTCTTTTGAACTTTCTATTCATCAAAGAATCCTGAACAATATTAAGCAGCACAATGTCGTGTGACACTGAAGACTGGAGTAATGGCTGCTGAAAATTCAGCTTTGCAGTTACATGAATAAATTACATTTTAATACATATTCAAATAGAAAAGTTATTTTTACCTGTAATATTATTTCAAAATATTACTTTTTACTGTATTTTTGATCAAAAATCTTTTTTTTATTTTTTATTCTTACCAACCCCAATTTTTTGAACAGTAGTATATGGGTAGAAATGAACTAATGTTAACGTACAGAGCCTTTCTGTATTATATTGTTATCGAAATGGTCAAACACATTATTTTCAAAATTTGTAAATGGGTAAGAAACTTGATCTTTGACCTTTAACACCTTGCGTTCAGGTTACTAGTCATAACCTCGCATTCATAACTCTCTTTCTCTGTTTTTTTCTTTCAGAAAAATCAACGGGACACAGGTAATTTCGACAAGGAGTTCACCAAGATGGCGGTTGAGCTGACACCAACGGATAAACTCTTCATTATGAACCTGGACCAAAATGAATTCCAAGGCTTCTCCTACACCAACCCTGAGTTTGTCATTCAGGTTTAACAGCAAACTCCAAACGATTGCTCCATTCAGGTGTGAGAGCAGGAGGCGGTCTTATTACCCAGAAAGCTTTATTTTGACCCTGTGCATCTTGATTGTCCTC